CTTGGTCATCGTCCTTGCAGGAACGCCTGCCGTCATTGGCTTTGGATGGATCAAGATGATTCTTGATGGCAGGCTTGACCGTCTCGTTGCCAAGCGGTTGTCGACGAGTTCTGCGATTGCGTCGGAATCAACAACGGCTATCCGCACAGTGTCTTCTCTGGGAATTGAGAGGGCGATTCTGGATCGATACACGTTTGAATTAGATCAAGCAGTGAAGGGATCACGACAGCCGCTTCTGTTTGTTATGTTTTGGTTTGCTTTGACTCAGGCTTCCGAGTACTGGTTTATGGCTCTCGGATTTTGGTATGTTTCCACACGATTGTTTGACGTTCAAAATCTAACATGCACGCTCAGGTATGGATGTCGACTCGTTGCCGCTCGGGAAATCACCATCTTCGACTTCTTCGTTTCCTACATGGCCGTCTTCTTCTGCGCACAATCGACATCTCAAATCTTCCAATTCTCAACCAGTATCACCAAAGGCAAGAACGGCGCCAACGCCATCTTCTGGCTCAAGCAACTCCAACCAGTCGTCCAAGAAACACCCGAAAACAAAGACAACAGCCCCGACCCAGAAGGCTCTCTGCAACTCGCCGAAACAAGCTTTGCCTACCCTCTCCGCCCACACGCCCCCGTCCTCAAAAACATCAACCTCGAAGCCCGCAGAGGCCAATTCATCGCCCTAGTCGGCGCCTCGGGCTGCGGCAAATCCACCATAATCTCCATGCTAGAACGCTTCTACGACCCTTCCAGTGGCGCCGTCCTCCTCGGCTCCCAAGACCTCACCACCATCAACCCGCGCAAGTACCGCGCTCAAGTCGGCCTCGTCCAACAAGAACCCACCTTATTCCAAGGCACAATCCGCGAGAATATCGCACTTGGCATTTCCAACCCGACCGCCAACACCATCCTCGACAGCGGCGCCGTCTCAGACGCTGACATCGAGCGCGCCCTCCGCGCCGCAAACGCCTGGGACTTTGTCTCTTCGCTACCCGAAGGCGTGAATACCGCCGCTGGCCCCAACGGAACTCAACTATCCGGCGGCCAGCGCCAACGCATCGCCATTGCACGCGCTCTAATCCGTAATCCACGCATTCTCCTCCTCGACGAAGCCACCAGCGCCCTCGACACCGAAAGCGAGAAGATTGTACAAAATGCGTTGGCAGAGGCGGCGAACGACGGCGATCGCATTACAGTAGCTGTAGCGCATCGTCTATCGACGATCAAAGATGCAGATGTCATTTGTGTGTTTTATGGCGGCAGGATCGTGGAGCAAGGTACGCATGCGGAGTTGTTGACGGGAAGTGGCACGTTGTATAAGAAAATGTGTGAAGCGCAGAGTTTGGCGTAGGTAATAAATATGGTTTGTACATATATATTTTTGGGGTATACGAAGAGTTAAAAAGATGGGAGGGGGGGGGAGTTTAGATACCTAGATTATTGTTTATTTCAAAAGTTCAAATATCTCTCTACACTGATCACTCTTTTGACTATTTGTGACCTTGATCTTTTTGATCTCCTTGGACTGACTCTGGCATGCAAACTCATATTTACTACTACAAAAATCCATCATACCCACCAACCCTCTCTCATCTCCCCCTCACACACAATCGCACCCCCATCGTTTCCTCCCCCCCTGTCCCCTGTCCTCCCTTCCCCTTCCCCATCCGCCCCCCCCGGCCCGACAATCCCTGCCCACCGGCACCTTTCCGCCCCTAAATTCCGCAGTCAACCCCACAATACACTACCAACAAAACGCTAGCTTTCTGCGCGTATAGCGATACGAAACGTATTGTGTCGCGGGGAGTTGCGATAGGCTAATCCCCTCCCCTTGGGTATGTAGGGCTGGGTGATCCCTGGTGTTAGCGCGTATATTCCTTCGATATGTGAAGGATTTTACTAGTATGTTTTTTTTTGAAGGGCGGGGGGAGAGGATGTGGTGGGGAGGGTTAAGGACGAGGTGCATCGGGAAAAAAAAAGGGAAGGATTGTTGCATAAGGGGGTGTGAGGGTTACACGACAGAGTTCAAAACAACAGAATCAAACAGACCGTTTTTGCAGCAAGAGGAAAGAAGATTTGGGGAAGCAAGAGTTTGATAGCTAAGGATTGACTAGGTCGGTAAACTCAGGGAGGGTGGTGCTTCTCGAGGTAATGACTGGGGGGGGGTTATAGACAATGAGGTAGAAAAAAAAGATGGTTGTAGAACCCTAGAAAGTACTACCTCATGCGAGATAAGTGGTAAAGAAGAAGAAAGAAAGAAAAGAAAGTGCCTTCTACATACGACCCCTATGTAGGCTATGTAAAAGAAGAAATCCCTACACATCGCCCATGTGACCCCGTTGCGTTCAAGAAAGGCGTTATCCGTCGTAGACAAGAAAGAGTGCGTGTATGTGTGTGTGTGATAAACAATCATTCGTGTCGTTGCGAATAAAACATCGCGTTTCTTCGTTAGTAGTAAAAGTTGCAACCCCCAGCATCACACACAAACAGGCTATGTGTCTTGCAGACTTAATCGAGGAGACGCTGAGCCCACGACGCACTCTCGTACCAGGCACGGATCTTCTTGCCAAAGATGTACATGGGAAGGGCCAACACGGTGACGCCGGCGGCGCAACCGGCCATGGCGCCGAAAACGACTACAGGACCGGCAGCCATGAGCCATTCGATCATGGGGCCCAGACCGACGGTGACAACGGCGGCGCCGATGAGATTGACGGATGAGAAGGCTTGGGCGGAGTGCTCCGGGTGGCAGTCGATAACGTACGAGACGGCGATTTGGATGGCAGAGACGCTGCCGACGTTGGTAACGGTCATCCAGACGAGGATCCAAGGGAGAGGGAGTTCATTCTGGAAGGAGCCGCCGAGGCCGATGAGGCCGGCCATTGTGACGGGGGTGGCGACGAGGAGGAGGACGAGACGGAATTCGGGTTCTACCATTCCTTTCTTGGTGCCGTTGTAGCGCCCCATGAGGCCGACGGAGGCGTCGGAGAGCCAGCCGAAGAGGGGGCCGGCAAGGAGGCCGACGATGAAGAGGGGGAGGTTGGTCATGCCGATTTGGCTGGGGCCGAGGTCGTATGGGGGTGCGGAGAGGAGGATGGACATGAAGGTGGACATGCCGACGAGGAAGAAGAAGATGGCGGCGTTGAGGAAGCAGCTGTAGATGACGATAGGCGAGGTGATGAGGCCGAAGGGCTTGATGATGCCCTTGAAGAAGGACTTGTTGGAAAGGCGGCCGTTGAAGAGCGTGAGTTGCTGGCCGTAGGTCTTCTTTGCGGGTACATTGGAGCTCTTGAGATCTTCCTCATCCCACTCGCTCCTCAGCTTGCTGGGCTGCACAACGATGGTAGTGACGGGCTCGTTCTTGCGGTTGAAGTAGGCAGATTCGAAAACGGTAAAGTAGAAGAGGGGGATCAGGCCGGTGTATATGAAACCTGTGATGAGGAAGTTGGAGGACACGCCAAAGCTGTCTGTGACGACACCGGCGATGATTTGACTGTGAGGTTTGCGCGTTAGTCGGATTCTTAAGTTGGATCGGGGTAAATAACTAACCCGAGTTGTGCTCCGGAGTTCAACATAAGGTTCCATACAGCGATTGATCGGCCACGCTGGTTGACAAAGAAAATATCGCTGATACTAGCAGTAAGGAGAGTGAAGAGAGGGGCAGAGAAGAGACCTCCTGCCGTTCGTGCAATTACTAGCATGCGGAAGTCGGTCGAGAAGAAGCCAGCAAAGTTTGCCAGAGCAAGGAAGACAGCGCTCCAAACGTAGAATGGTCGTCTTCCCCAGATGTCTGTTCCGGCGACAGCGATAAAGGCTGCAGCTGATGTCCAAAAGGTAGGTGCAGTGATGATCCATGTTGAGATATCGCTGTCATTGCTTTGTAGCTTCTCAGTTAGAGGCTCGAGGCCGGGTGTGAGCATAGTGGTTGTTCTTTTGGATGTTAGTGTATGTTCGCACAAGAGTATCAATATGGGACGCCTACGCATTAGTGATTGCAGAGCCAAAGGCCAGGACGAAAAGGTGCACACACTTCCATGTGAGGGACCTGCAAAAATCAGTTAGTGGTTTCAGATGGCGCTGTTGAGAAAATCGCCTACCAGTTGAGGGGGTCATTTGGGTCGTCGCTAGGCTCAGGAGAGCGCGCTACAACCTCCGTTTGATTGATAGAGTCGGTATCAGAGATGACCTTCTTGTCAACCACTCCTAAAAGTGATGTGCCGCGAGGAAAAGCTGCGCGCGAGCTTTCGAGTATGCCCCAACCCATCTTTGCCGAGTTCGATTTATCGTTTTTGTAATTTTTTTTACGCGAAGAACTGCCAGAGCCTCCTCTTTTTCAGGTATCACTTCAGTATATAGCGATCGTTGGTGGTGAAGAAAGCAAAATTCAGTAAATAGCAGCAGATAAGAAACCGTCCAGCAGTGTTGCCAAACCAGTTGGCATAGAGAAGCGAAGCAAACAAAAAAAACTATCCCGAGAGAAAGTAAGAAGAAAAAAGACAAAAAGCGAGATGAGATCCGGTCTAGAGAGTGGATGAAGCTGTTCAGACACGGATTGATATGGATTAAAAAGAGATAGAGAAAGAGTGTATACTTCTTGGCCACAAGGGTTCCATTACCAAGCAGGTTACGCGTCTGACAGACTGGGATTAGCATTGCTCGGTGGTTCATGTTTTTGCGACACGTCGCAGTAGTCTTGCAAAACGTGGAGAAGCGTATGTATGAGGCCTGCTACAAGATCCATGGGGATTGGCTTTTGTACGTAAGTGGTGCGTTCATACTACTATGTTGCAGCGCTTCCCATGCCTACTTTTGCACACGAAGCGCAACTTGGTACCTACATGCGACTACTTTGGCGTACTGCACAGGATACCGTGGACAAGCCGCCATGCGGGATGCGCCTCTTCCTTCAGATAGGCGAAACGTTATGATGCGAGATGAGAGTACTATGCTCCTTCATCGCATTGGCATTCTGCATGCTGTCATGGAGGCTCCGAATCGGGATGGCCAAGCGTTTTGAAATGTCGAGGAACACGATTAATGACAGTCTGGACGTCGTTGCACGAGCCGCTGACATCCTTTCAATAGAAGCTGATCGACAATAGTCCCATGATGGTTAGAGTTGGTGCAAATGCTGGCGAGGCGCGCCCTCACGCCACTGTTGGTGCTAGTGCACCGCCGCAGATCCTCAAACAGGGTCTCATCACTTGGTGGCGATACCTGAAACGCTTGATGTGCGACAGGAATAAATCCGCCGATGTTTGCATTAGCCCGGCTGGGCAAGGCTTCAAGTAGTGCTCCCGTGGGGATGTCAAAAGGGCTAAGGGCTGAGGACGCAACCGCCCGTGAGAAGTGCGCAGTATGCCGTTTGTAGATGCCGATCCAAAGATGATGGTCGGCTCTCCGAATGCGAAGCACGGCATGTTGAGAATGATCGGGGACCACTAGTTCGCTTTAACATCAATGGTTTGAAGTTTAAAAAAAAAGGATGCGCACTTGAGTCTTGGTATTGGGCGCAAACATGTACGAAAAAGGGGTGTAATAGTTGGAATGAGTTCGTGAAGATGATATGCATGTACATAGTGGCCCGCCGGAAGGAACCTAAGCAAACAACTTCCATGAGCTCTAGAAGCATACTCCTTGCCCCGCGTGGAAGTCTCACACTGCCGGATAACCGGCCAATAGGGCCGTTGCCTTTTTCATGCTCAGCCTCAATAGGAAATCATTACTAAGAACCAAGCATGGACAGAACGTAGGACTTGGATAATGTAAAACGCCAATCAGACAGGATCTCTTGAGCGGAATTAGAGCCGTTAGGGAACGGAATAAAGATGATGAGCGTTTGATAGAGAACCCTACTGGTTTGCAAAGTCGGCTCTAGGTTCCCGAGAAATTCAGGCCAGCGACCCCTTGAAGTATGCTATAGGGAAATATGATGTCATGTGGTTTGACTTCTACAACATGAGCCAAAAGGAGTTTTGAAGCAGATATTGCAGTTCGCTTTCTTCATTCAAAATTTGTAATCTGCTGAGTTTGAGGTAGTGCAGAATCAATGCAATAGTCGTGTACCTCAATGTTGGATGCCATGTCTCGAAGTAGAGGATAAATTGGAACTGTTCACGGAAAGAATGATGCCCATGGCTTATCTTGTAGCTGAAGAGGCGTGATAGTCAACATAGACATAGTTAAAGCAAGAAAACAACGTTGAAGAATAAAAAATAAAATTCGTGTGACTTTAGTCCATCACACACATTACAGCCCTAGGGCTAACTTTTTGATCTTACATCAAGTCGTCTCTGCATGCTCAAAACATGACATCATGTTCGCTAAATACGAGGAAAAAAACATACTTTTATAGCAGAATTAGTTAGCAGAGTTGCGTGCCTTTGCGGCTTCAACGGCCTTTTCCCAGCTTGTTTGCCAGATAAACCAGCCTTCGATTGCGGAGACAATGGCTAGTGCAATTGCAGGACCCTATATTGCATTAGCATCTTTTCAATCTGTTCAATTTGGTTTCACTTACACTCCAAAGACCGTATAGTCCCCAATGTAGCGGTCCGAATCCAGTACCAAAACTGATTGGAATGCCGACAACGTAGTATGCGAACAAGCCCACATAACCACCAATTTCTTGACGGCCCAGTCCACGCAGGATACCGTTGCAGTTGGCGGCGAGGGCATCGACGACTTGGAAAGTAGCGCAAAGAGGGAGGAGATTGGCCACCATGGCAATGACCTCTTCATCGGGAGTAAACAAACGCGGAATTGCTTCTCGAAGTAGAGAAAGGAACATGAGGTTGAATATGCCGACCAAAATAGACGCAAAAACAGCTACCTTTGCGGCCGTTTTCGCAGGTACGGCAAGAGTCGCACCAATCAAGTTGGCAATGCGCGTCGAGGCAGCAATACTCATAGGGAATGGGATCTGGAATGTGATGCCGGTAATCGTTCCAAGGACAGATTGTGCAGCAAGCTCAGTAGGACCCAGCCAACTTGAACTCAGAGTTAGAATCTCAAAAGCGAGAAACTCGGCAAGTACCATGACCAGGCCAGGAAGCGCGAGCTTAATCATGGGCATCCAGTTGTTAAGAGCTCGGCGGTCGAATCCGCCCCAGCATTGGTAACCATCGATGAAGCGGACGTAGAGGAATAGGAGGAGAGGTAGCAAGTTCTCGGTAATGACGACTGCAATCGGTGCGCCGATGAATCCCCAGCCGAGATGCCAAACCATGAACCAGTTCAAAAAGGCATTGAGCGGTGCGCAGATGAGAAGAATATACATGGTAGCGTTAAAAATGCCTTGTGCTTGAACGTAGCGTTTTCCGCCTTCGAAAGCGACGTAGCCAGGTCCTCCAGCGATAAGAATTCTCAAGTACAATCCAGCTAGACGTGCCGTTTCGTGTTCCGGAACAATCAGGGACAGGATCTGGGTACCGAATGCCCATATTATGGAGACTGGGATGGTGATTAATAGTAAAAAGTACAGCATGCGTTGCAGCTGTAGACCGACGAGATGTTTACGTCCAGAGCCATAGGCTTGTGCACAAAGGGTATCTAGTGAAGTTGCCAGGCCTTGATATACTGCATATCCGGTGATGGAGGCAGTCATACTAGCCAGACTCACAGCTCCGAGTTCAGTCTTGCCAATATGTCCAACGGTGAAGATACTGGCTACGGGCAGACTGTACTGCAGCAAAGAGGTCAGGATTAGTGGCGCCGATGTTTTGGTCAAGACTTTTGTTTCGCGCTGCCAGGTTGTGTTGATTTTTCCGGCTGCAACCGCCTCGTCCCATTTCTTGTGGATAACCTTTGGTGTATCCAAACCACCATATGGCTGGCTTGGGTTACCAGCAGAAGCGCCTAGTAGGGCAGTTCGCTCGGACAGGGATTCGATGGCGCTCTCTTCATCCGGAGTGCTTTTGACCCTGCGCAGGCCAAGGATGGGCATGTCGGACCTTAAACGATCAAATGGACCGTTACTCTCGGATCTCGGATGTTTGGGCGGTAGCAAATCATTGTCGCGAAGTAAACTCTTTTCCTCATTGCGCACAAGCTCTCTCTCTCGCTTGGACAGATGGCTGTGCTTTTTCCACGACGTTGACATGTGGCTGCGTTCGGGTACGCTCGATGAGATGATTGCTGTTGATCGCGAGCCGGGATTTACCCAGGAAGGCCGGCGGTAAGAATTGATCATGGAAAATTGGGTCGCCGTGTCTGAGCCTGACGAGGAATCATCATCCGAAGCTAGTGCATTGTCTTGCTCGAGGTCTCTGGCAATTGCCTCCTCTGCAATGTCTTGCGCTTGAACAAAGCCCTCTACTTGCGATGTGATATCGGCTGCAAAATTGGTGACAGGGTGACCTGTCGGTATGGGTTGGGACATGATTGGAAAGGCCCAAAATTCTGTAAAGCTTTCTTTTCCCTTTTGCTCAAAGCGAGTTTGATTAAGTTTTGGAAGTTCTGGGACAGAAGGGAGGTTTAAGAAGCAAAGGATTGAGAGCGGGGCGTGAGGAAGACGATGGCAGTTGGTATCGGCTGCGAAAGTGCTGCAACCCAATGCGGAAACTCCACGCGAAGTTGGTGATAGTAGCAGCGCTAGCTTCCGCCCTTCGTCCTCTGAGTTGACAGATGACAAGCACGGCACCGTATGCGCCTTGTGACTCCGAACTGCCTGAATCTGCCGTTCCATAGCTGCTACTGCGTCTCGGATCCATCTTCTCCACACTAGCACGAACGGTGGGCCGTGGCTATGAGGCTAGGGCAGAGATTACAGAGCGGCGCAGCACAGTCACATGACACTATCGAGAGGAATGCATGATGGCAAATGAGTCACCTGGGGAAATATGCATGTACGTATATAGTTTGCCTTACTCATACTGGTGCCAAGGTCTGCAAAGGGCGCTGAGATGCAGCCAGATATGTACGTGTGTATGAATCCAACAGATACATGCAGCTTACTCTGCATACTTAGCACACACACACACATGTATATATATACTCACGTGACAAGCGCAACAAAGGACTGACGAACATTGTCGAAAAACATGTAACGCTGGTGGTATCATTATCTGCTTACTCAAATCTACAATCGCGCTGCAACTGCAGCCTCAGACGACTACTCTTCTGAGTGCCTCGGTTCCTCCGAGCACCCGTCTCCCCGTCACCGCGTCTCGCCCCTTCCCACTCTCCCATCTACCTTCTCGGCTGCCTTCTTCTTTGCCCCAGCCTTCATCACCTCCCTCTTCGTCGTCCCCGGCTCGGAATCCAGCGCCACCTTCCATAAAGGCAGTCTGACGATCATGCTCTCCGTCAACCCAGCGATGTATGCACGTATAGCAGTACACGAAACCTGTGGGCGATGCTGTTGGGTTGACAATGGGTGTCACACAAATAGGACACAGCGCCGAAGACGGCGGTGACGCTACTGTGAATATGGGCAGGAGGGTGGTTGAGGATATTGGGGGATCGATGCGCGGCGTTTTGTCGGACGATGATGATGTTGGTCGTGGTTTCTCGGAACCGTCCATCTGCTTGGACCCCTGTTGTTTGGCCGAGGGTGGTAGCGAAGGTAGTATTGGTGGCGGTAGCTCAATGTTCTCTGCTGCCTTCCGTGACAACTGCCGGGCAAAATCCGAGGCATGCCACCACTCAAGAAACTTGAGCGCAAATATGCTCGTAGGGAGCAGGATCTTGAGCGAACTCAACAGCCGTGGCTGCACGCTCCTGGCAAGATTCCTCGGCGAGAAGATGGATCCGCCCTCGCCGGGCCGCGCAGGGCCAATGTTTCGTGGGGCCGTGGCCAGCTCAATTGCCTTGTGGTCGGCCTCGCCCAGTCTACGTATCCTCGAGCCAATGAGCCACATGAAGGGCGAGTGGTACTTTGTGCCGTCAAACAGATATGCCATGTTGAAGACGAGCAGTGAGAAGTAGTAGGCAGCGTTGACGCTGGGGTATATGTTGCGCAGAAACCACTTGTAATAGTGCATCAGACGCTCTTTGATGGTCGCGCCGGCTCTGAGTCCTTCTCTTTCGCGGTTGTAGCCGGGGCCGAGCAGGTTGGCGTGGGCGGCGTGGACGTCGTAGCCCTCGTCCAACTTTCTCTTGAGCCAGGGCAGGCCGACGAGCACGGCGAGGTTCTTCCACACATCATCGCGACCCAGCTTGACAGCCTCTCTGACGCTGTCGGATGCGCCCAGCTGGGCGCGGGGGATCTCGCCGCCTCGCACCCTCAGCACACGGGCGCGCTTGAGGCCGTAGAAGTTCTCGGTAAAGGAGCCGCCATAGGTGCGTAGAAAGTGGCGCTCGACGAGGAGCATCAACAGCGCGTAGACCTCATCGAAGGAATTGAGGACGGGCAGCAGATATCGTGGGTACCGGGGCGTTGCGACGGCGAGCAGGTAGCGCAGCGACGGGGGGAGCAGCGACGAGAGTTGTTGTTCCGATAGCAGTTCAAACAGCGAGGGCTTGAGGTCGTCTATGCCATGCTGGAGGGCGGGCAGGAACTCCATGGCGCCCGGTCAGAGATGGGCAGACGGACTGGTTGCGTCTTCATTGATGCCCTGAGATGGGGTTGAGGATGTGCCATGGCTTGTTGACAGGCACGGAGGCACGCGCGCTGCAGCCGAGGCATGCTCGGAGCTTACTACGTACCTCGCCTGTCTGTCCGACGCGTGTGTACAGCCTATACGTCACACTCGTACGCGCCCCCATTCACCGACTGTCACGGCTCCGAGTGAGTCAAGCAGTTGACTTGACATAGCGACAGCAAGACACTCTCATTTTGTCTGCTACACATAATATACTGTAGCCATGGATCCCCACAACGAGCGATGCACCGAGCTGCAGTACCCCGACCTGGTCAACTTCTCCGTCTCCGTGTATGTCCGATATGCATTCATTCTAGCAAAATGCACTTGACTGACCTCTACGCCTCACAGATTCATTGTCTTCGGCATCCTCGTATCATACCTGCCCCAGCACTACAAGATCATATCCCGCCGCTCTTCCCGCGGCCTCAGTCCCATGTTCGTCCTACTCGGTACCGTGTCTGGCACGGCCAGCATCGCCAACATCTTGACCCTGCCTGAGAGCACAAGAGACATGGCCTGCTGCAAAGAAATCGGAACCTTCCCTTGTGCAGCAGCTATGCTAGGCATAGTCCAGATAGGCGTACAGTGGAGTTGCTTCTTCTTCATGTAGGACGCCATCACCAACGGCAGCATCAATAACAGTGCTAACAGCCACCTCCAGCATGCTACTATTCCTCATCTTCTTCCCCCGAGACGCCCCATCAATCGCAGAGGAAGAGCAAGATTCCCAAATGCCGACATGGAAAGAAGCCGTACTGGTCCTGGCTGTGTCTGTTGCCTTCTTCGTCGTTGCTCTGTTTGGCTCTGTAGTCTTCGTATACGCCGTCCCGTCCCATGTCCGCGGCTGGGCAAACTTTCTCGGCCTCCTCGCTACTGTGCTTGCAGCTATACAATACATACCTCAGATCCTCATGACTTGGAAGCTGCAAGAGACAGGCAGTCTTTCCATTCCCATGATGTGCATCCAGACGCCTGGCAGCTTTGTCTTCGCTGCTAGTCTGTATGCGCGCTTGGGGCCGGCGGGCTGGAGTGCATGGGGTTTGTTCATCTTTACCGGCATCCTGCAAGGCTTCCTACTAGCCATGGGTATTTCTTTCGTCTTAAGGGATCGCAAAGCTCAGCAAGCCCAGATGGTAGGTCATGCTAACGGAAACGGGGTTTCGGAAGGTAGTGAACGCACCCCTCTGCTAAATAGTGAGAGATGATATTGTCAACAATCACCATATCTTTGTTCTCTGACTTCTTGTCCTGCCCATGTGACCTTTGCAATCATGCAGCACTTGCAGAAGCTGCGTCGTACCAAGATTGGCTTTTGACATTCGGGTACTCGTTGCTCCAAGTACTATAAAGACGGGCCCCGCTAGATTTCAGCTCACATCTTCTGCACTTCTTGCCTTGTATTTATTCTGAATCCTTCGTTAAAAGTTCTCTCCGATGTTCCATGTACGTTGTTGAAACCATGGTGAACAGACCAACGACACACAGCCGTCGTACCCGATTAGAGTGGCGACGATGACGAACGCTCAGCCGAGCTGAGGTTGTTTGGATCCACGGCTGCTATCGCTCTTGGTCACTCCATCGGTACCGGTCCGCCCGCAACCATTAATTTCTCGCAGACACAAGCCAACGTTGTGGCAATGTCCGCCTCTACGCCAAGCTGGCCTAACGTCCTTTTTGGCAGGTATCTCAAAACCAGCCTTGGCCTTTTGGCAAAAAAGGATTAACACTCTTATGACCTTCTCTTCCGGACGCAGTACAGGCCGAGCTCGTGATAAGAGTGGACCGTCGACGATGTTGTGCGTGCATTTATCCATGGATCCGGTGTTTACCAAGATTTGGTGTAAATCACGTATTAGTATATGAAGATGCCTCGCTGCCTGCGCAAACGAAATGCCCTGCGCACCAATTCAAGACTTGATTTATTGAATCGCCGAGATGAAGTTTTCAAGTGCAATCGCCCTCGCGGGCGCGGCGCAAACCTTGGCTGCAGTCAGGCCTCGCCCTATGGTCTCGTCCGGAGCTATTCAGGACCAGATCACTAGCGAAAAGTATGTTTGATTTCGGCATTCTAAAGGAAAATCTATTAACAAAAAGACAGGTTGATGGGCAATCTGAAAGCATTCGACACGATTGCAAAGGCCAATGGTGGAAACCGTGCGTTTGGTCTTCCTGGCTACGCCGCCTCGGTCGACTACATGCTTGAAAAGACACAAAACACCCATTTCAAGACATGGACCCAGGATTTCCCTGCTTTGTTCAACCGAGTCGATTCCATCGAGTTCACCGTGAGCAACACCTCGTACCGTGTTGTGGGATTGACGTATTCTCCCTCTACCTCACCGGAAGGTCTGACGCTTCCGCTCGCGCTGGGTGCCACCGGAGCTGCGGGTTGCACAAAAGAGGGATATAGCAATCTGGACGTAAAAGGAAAGATTGCTCTTGTACAGCGCGGCTCATGCCCAGACGGCACCACGTTTGCCGGACGCATGAAGGCGGCTGCTGCCGCAGGTGCATCAGCCGTCGTCATCTACGCCAGCGATCGGTCCAATGTCACTGGCGGAACCCTCTCAAACCCCAACCCACTCGAGTACGTCTCAACAGGGTACATCAACCTCGCTGACGCCGAGCCCCTCGTTGCCCGCCTTACCGCCGGCGAGGCTGTCGAGGCCTACTTTCAGCAAACTCAGATTATCGAGGAGCGCATCACACAAAATGTCTTCACCGAGACCAAGGATGGTGACCCAGAGAATGTCATCATGCTCGGTGCGCATCTCGACAGTGTCCAGGCTGGTGCAGGTATCAACGACGACGGCTCCGGCAGCACCCTGATTCTCGAAATCGCCCGTGCCCTTCGCAGATTCAACGTCAAGAACAAAGTCCGCTTTGCCTGGTGGGGCGCCGAAGAGAACGGTCTCCTAGGCTCCAAATACTACACTCAGAACCTCAATGCCACCGAGGCCAACAACATCCTCACATACCTCAACTTCGACATGGTCTCCCGCGGCTACTTTGGTGTCTTCGACGGCGACGGCAGCACCTACAACCTCACCGGCGCCCCCGGCTCCGACGCCATCGAAAAGCTCTTCGTCGAGCACCTCACCAGCAAAGGCGTCAACGTAACCGCCGCCCGCTTCACCGGCGGAAGCGACTACCAATCCTTCATGAACATCGGCAAGCCCGTCGGCGGCCTGCACACTGGCACAGGCATCGAGCAGGACCCTTGCTACCACCAAGCCTGCGACACAATCGACAACCCTAACCCCGAAACTCTAACTATCAACGCAAAGGTATGTTTGTTATTTCCCTTTCCGACCCAGTTTTTTTTGTAAAGGGAATGGTTGATTAATAAAACAATAGGCCGCCGCACACGTCCTTTCCATCCTCGCCACCCGCGGCGAAACAATCATCCCCAAGAGCCCCATCAACACCACCATGATCACCGCCCGTGGCATCATCGGCGTCGAACCAAGGTGGACTGTCCCTGAAGAAGGTGAAAAGCACCTCGCCACATGTGGCTATGAAATCTAAGCCAACCACCCTGACTTTTGCGAAGAAAAAACGGGGGGTTGTTAGTAATGTGAATGAAAATATTTTGTACATTAATGGAAAATGAAAAGTAAATATCAGTGTCCTTGAAAAACAGACATTATCTTTTGAGTCTTTGGGACTCTCGAACGAATCGCTTTCTTTCGCTTGCTCGGTGATGTTGTAAATGGACGTTGCACACGTAAATCACCTACTACTCTCAGCTTACCCCCCAGTCAACCCGCAGCATCTGCATTCAGGTACCGATGCAAAGTAGCAACCACCCGATGCGAACACCCGCACTAACCGACGTAATCGCCCCCACTTGCGCTCCAACGACCCCGCACCTGCCCTTTTTTTCGCCTCACGTTCTTCACTTTTCCTAGTATATTTAATACTCAAAATGAATATCTGCCATCAAAACACCATCGGTTGTATAGTGTAGTGGTTATCACTCCAGATTTTGACTTGCTAGTCAAAAAGCTTTCTGGTAACCCCGGTTCGAACCCGGGTACGACCTCATCATTACTTCGTTCTTTTTGTTTTTTGTTACTCTTTGACTTTTTGGTCGAAAGTGGGTGAAGTTAGTTTCTTTTTTGGATTTTGAATTTTGAGTTTTGAGTTTTGAATTCTGATTATGTCTGAATATGGCAAGTCACACTGACCATGAGCAATGGGCAAGGGCTGTTAACGAGAGATCTACTGATACTCTATGAGAAGCTTATATCACATTGATCACACATGTTGACCAACAAAGAAATGATATACTTTCGTAGTCTTCTATGATTATTTGTCAAAGACGAAGCTGGCTAATCGCATCGAGTAACACTTTCTATCATTCAACTCAAAACCATGGCATGTCTATCTTCTCCTCAAAGCGCCTCCAACCTTAGAACTACAGCAAATCATCAACAACAGCCTCTCCCTCGCCATCCTCACCGCCCCAATCAAGCTTCATCAGTAGTCGATCAATGCCGCCTACCCTCAACGGCTCATACGCCCCTTCGCCCAACGTGACCGAACTCGCCGTGCCAGGCGCTGAAGCTCCAATCCTCTCACTATCTATTTCTCGCAACCGGTCCACCAGCGCCTTGAGATCGCTGTCTAGTCTTCGCCTCGCACGATCCATTTCGATACTGACGTCTTTTTCTTCTTTTTGGTAGTTCTGGGCATAGTCTTCTACACCTTCATCTTCTTCAAGGTCGAGGTTCTGCTGGATCTTGGTCAGGCGTGTGATGAATGCTACTAGTTCGTCGACGTGAGTGCATAGTGTACGCAGTGTTTTGGTGAAGGATTGGTCGGTTAGGAGGAGAGAGTAGGCGACTGAGGATAGGAAGCGACGGTGGGCTGAGGCTAGGGCCTCAGGATCGTGCTGTTGTTGGGTGTTCGCATCGATTGTAGATCTGCGGAATCTTGAGGAAGAAGGGCGGCTGGGTGGTGCTGTGGGTGGGTCTGAAGAGGTTTGTGGGCCAGCGACCCAGGTGATGAAGTGGCGGAACGTTTGTTGGACTACAGTTCCGTGAAAGTAGGCTTCGCTTTCCGCTAAGAAGAAGATGGCAGCGGCACACGTGGCCCAGATTTTTCGCATGTCTTGCGACCTTTTTGTAGTGCGTTGGCGGCGTCTTTTGAGTATTGCTCTTCCGTGCGCAGAGTTGCTGTATTGGTAGCCTGGGGGACATGGATAGTCTCTCCGTATAGAGCTGTGCCTCCATAGCTCAGCCAAGTGTAGATGGGCACGTCTGACTGCAAGTAGGCAAGAATTGATAGATGAGTAGACATCAAGATCTGCCTTTGTCAGAAATAGATCGAGGGGTGAGCGAATATCCATGGTGAGTGAGGTTGGCACAGACAGCAGCAACTCGTCAAAGGACAGATTCGGAAGTTGTGGAAGCGTGGAATCTGCGTCTTTAGCACGTCCCGGTGTTCCAGGGCGGTGGCTGGAGGAACCATTGACACTCAAGTGTAACAGCTGAGTTGCAACATCCAAGATATCGTCCGTGTTCTCATCCTCGCTAGAGAGTGTCGAAAGAATGGAGAAGGAGCGCATAAGGATATGGTTGATCTCCGCTTCTTTGAGTAACACGCCCTTTACTGATTGGCTAGACTTTCCTGACAATGAATTGCGGTGTCGCGACGACATTTTATCGTCTGCCTCAGCAATCAGAGTCAGGGCGAATTCACCCCGACCTATGAGAAAAAACTGATGTAAAACAGTCAAGGTCTCAATAATCTTCTCACGTGGTAGCAAGTGCTGCAGAAGGTTTCGTGAGAGCGACAAACGAATATTCGCTACAGCTTCAGAAAGCTTCGCTACTGATATTGGCGCGGTGACTTCAGAGAGTTGCTGAACGTGCTTAGGTAGCAGATCAAGCTCTGAAAGCGAATTGGTAGCGTCCAATGCCTTTGCCGCTGATGGTAGTGACCGAATCTGGTTGAGCGACTTTCCGACGAACAAGATTGAAAGAGCAGTCTGCCTGGTTACAAACTTGGGGAGCAACTTGCTCTGCAAGATGAAAATCTGCTCTTCTGCATCTTCGTCATCTTGTTGAATGAAGAAATCAATGCGACACGAAGGCAGGCGACCGTACAGCAACCATGTCGATAGTTGCCGTAGCCACGATGTTTCTGCAACCTTGCTCAGACCATGCGCGGCCTCTTCGATGTCAGGAAACCCAGTCTGCGCCTCCGCCCGTAGCTTGTCAATGATTCCAGCACCTGAAGCAGATTGGCTAAGCATTTTCTCGATTTTGTAAGAAGCTTCCGCAGGAATCATATAGTTGGTGATGTCCCAGAGCCACTCCATGATCCTGACCCATTCAGAAAATTCGCTGACGACCCCGGCAAGTGGCACAATGTTGTACGCACCAACAGTCGAAGCATCTTGTTTAAGGATGCGGCTCTCAACATCAAGTATTTTCTGTTGAAACTGTTCGAGATGATGTGATGTGATTGAAGTGGCGACTGCTCGGCAGATGATGGAAGGGTGAGAAGCGGCAATCCAAGCAGCATGGTCGCGCAGTTTTCGGTGTAGCCTGGAAAGATGGCCGATTGAAGACAACAGTTCTTTTTCCGATGGAGAGAGCAGACGATCAGCAGTCGAGGTCACGTGGCCAGGGGCATCGAAGAGCGGGGATGGGTGTCCGGAGAGCGAGAGGAGGAGTTCGTGTAGCATGGTCGCGGCAACGGCAAGTCGCTTGTCCTCGGGCGAGATCGCGTCTTTCGCGACGCAAGACGCTGGCAAAAGACTATGAGCAAGCTCAAGAGCTCGAATCGACACATTTAACGCGTCGCGCTGCGCGCACGTCTCGATACGGATAGATTGGGTATGGTGGGATGGAGGTCAACAATCCCCGCGCTAGCGACAGACGCTCAGGCACCGCAGTTCACGACACTGTGCAGGGGGCAACTCTTGACAACCACAGCGCAGTGGCACTTCACAAAGTTTGCCAATATGAATTTTCCTGAAACGGACATTGTGCAAATACCTCTGGAATATGTACACGACATCCGCGATACAGCATCATCTGATCAAACCCGCCTCGTCACACCTAAGATTCGGTCACCCTGCTGTGGAATACAGCGTATTACTCACACGAATCAATAGGGATACACTCTGGTACATGTTATCTTGTAACCTCTACGGCTTATCATTTCTAAGAACATAATAATTTAAACATCCAAGCGCCTTTAAGAGTTGGACATGTATATGGCTGTTCGCTTGTCCTATCTGTACTAGAAGATATTCGAACAAGCATCATCGTTTTCTTTGTTTCGAGTTCTTCTACCGAGTATGAAGGCGGGCTTGAGAAGCCGGTAAACAATGGTCACATCCAAAGAAAGATTTGGAAGGATCGCGTGACTATCAGAGAAATTGGCCTGCATGAGTATCAAAGCCGATGTGGTCATCACATTGCACCGATGAGACGTGACACCCGTCTGGTACGAGTAATGTTCACGTGACATTCAATACTTCTGTGTGAAAGATCATATCCGTGAAATAGTCGAATTTCACTCTGTTCTTTCTTATCTACTTTAAAATGAACCACATCCCTTCTCTCCCTTGTTCAACTCACAATCTCTATCAGTATGAATGCACTCGACTTCCTAGTGGAATTCGTTCACCTTGAAGGCACCTCAGACCATTTACTCCCGCAGCACAACCAAACCACCAACCCTTCCAAGCATCCGATATGCAACACAGGAGCAAAGATGATGCCTTCAGCGCATCCTATAGCTTACGAGCAGTATCATTTCACACAGAAAGCATCAGAACCAGAAACTACATACAATTTCACCACAAACCTATTTCCTAAACAACACATGTTTTCGGTATCAACAAGTCATTTGCCTGATCCAAGCGTCATCAACTTTGAACATCACGACATACCGCAACCTTCTATAGAGCATAACGATCATACATCGCAGACACTCACTGGATATCCACAGAGAGAGCAAGGAGATGAATCGTCTCACGAAACAACTTCCATCATACCACAAGCATACTACCAGCAATCAAACAACCATGCACCATGGACTCCGGGCTACGAAGCCTCCAAAACCCACACTACTGTCCCGGACATGCGGTACGACGCTCAAACACCCTACATCTTCCAACCAACTCAACAAAAAGAAACCCACTACGTATCCTTCTCCGAGGGCACCTCACCCGTCCAGATCCACTGCAACAACACCACCTGCGGATGCTGGGCCCAAAAACCACAAAGTTATCACCCCACAGAAAACACATGGCCGCCCTGGAACATAACTCAAGTCCCATATGGTTCCGAAGTGCCACCCATCTACAATGATTGGACATTGGAATCTACGAGGAGGTGTAATTTTAGCACTGTCTAGGATAGACCCGGCTCACTTCATCTCACTACGCCACACCACGCAATCCTAATCTTCCCAACCTACCTATTCCTCCTCTACCAGCGCCGCCGACTCCGCTACCATGCAATTCCGCCCTCTGGAATCCGAACGGAGAGCATTATAACACATCGTTTTGGTGCTGGAGGAATAATAGAGTGATGTGCGTACAAGTTTTCTTTGTTAGGTTGAGGGCTTCTTTAACGATGGTGGCTAAAAAAAGGGCCTAGAATTGCGGTTGATAGGCCATTTTGGGTATAAAGATTTGTTGGAGATGCAAAAGGGTGGTTGGGTTAGCAATCGGGGTGTTTGGTACATTGCTTTGGGCAGGAGATGTGTGTTGGGGCATCAAGTAGATTTCAGTTATGTTACTGTACTGCACTCACAAATTATACTATGTGCAGAGATCAATACAGTAGTACCACATTGTCATCACTTCACATCCTCAAGTACATCACATGTCAGCACACGTATATTGGAGACAGTACGTAAAGTTTCCAGAATATTATTAGCAGTACATGAATGCTCTAGTTTCGTCCCATTTCCGCGTCCATGAGGTCACATCCCTTCGTATCGTTCAATACCCATACTCGCGTCCAGACGCCCGGTATGGCAAGAGGAGATGAACGAAAGTCCAAGAAAAATCCCCTCATACAGACCTGGAAACTGAAATGTCGCATGTAAAGCACGAGTGAATGCTTAGCAATTGAAAAAAAGGAGAAAAGAAAAATTGGGAACACACTGTCTCCCGAAAAAGCGACCTTGTGCTCCACTCGAAACGTTGTGGTACAAGATGCCGCAGGGTTTACTGTTTTTGAAGAAAATGAGGTGTGGATGGTGTTCTTGTTATGATGAGTAAATCACAACAGTCATGTATCTGCATGACGGGGCTCAAATTTTGATGCCATCAAGCGAGAGTGTCAACACGGTCTGACAGTGTTACAGTGAACAAAACACTCTTAGGCCGCTGCAAGTTTTGCCCATGTCGTGGGCTGATGGGTTGACGGTGTACGGGTGTTGCTGTTGCTAGACCACGATTTCGCCCCCGACGGATGAGTAGTACTGTTGCTCGTATATGAGCGATCGGCCTGACTTTGCTGCGATGGCTTACGCGGGCGATCCTTGGCCGCATTGGAAAACGCTGCATTCGGGCTGCCGGAAGGCTTGGGCTTAGCCTGTCGGTTGAGCTTGGGGCCGTAGTGCTTCCTCTGCACAGACTTTGTCACGGGCTCTCGCATATTGGCAATCCGTATGACTACGTCAAACTTACCCTTGTATTGGGCAGTCTTCTCAATGTCAAAAGCTTCAAGTCGGCGAATCGTGAACGGGTTCTCGAACTTCTTAAACTTGGGATGCTGTTCATCTTTAGGGGCAGCCTTTGGCGGCTGGTCCGCCGCAAGATGAGAGACCTTGGACAGTTTCACCGTGGGTAACGAGCCAAACTCCCGATCTTCAAAGAGGGCCTCAGCGCCTTTGCGAGTAATCACCTCGCTACCGCGGTCGTTTGAGAAGGGGTTCCTCTGTGGAGCAGTGGGGAGAGATACGGTGGCAGGCCCTGTGCTCCCGCGAACATCAAGTGAAGCCTTTGACAGTGCAGCTGGAGCGACAGCGCCTTGCTGCGGAATGGCTGGAGGCAATGGTGGGTTGGCAGGGTTAGACGCTGGACGAGTAGACCCGGGTTTGTCGAGAAGCTTGTTAAACCTAGCCTGCCATTCCGGGTTCATTGCGAGGGGCCGAGCACCCAGAGCCTGTCCGCGCGATGGCATAGTTACCTGGGCAGTAGGGGATGGGCCCGTGCCTGACGCCGATGGAGGTAGACGTACAACAGGGGAAGGCTTCGGTAATCTGACCAATGGATGTCCCGCATCGCTACTGAAGGCGGGGTGCGTTTCTGTCTCCGGTGGAGGTGGAGGAGAGTCGGCCTTGTTTGAAGTATGCATGGCTGAAGACGACATTGCGTCTAGCGATGACTCGGTGGGTCGAGGGAAGAATCGGGATGCGCGAGAGCCAGTGGCTTGCTGGAGGGTACCTTGACCAAGGACTTGTTGCGGCGATTGGCCTTCATTGACAGGTTTGGGAGCATCGTCCTTCTTTAGGCTGTCGACAAGAGCAGCGTCAGGAACAACTTTGTCGTGCAACGTAACCTGTGCTTGGCCCCGCTGGTCCTTGTAGGTCTCTCGCAGCTCGGGGCGGAAACCCTCACCCTGACGTTCTCGCTCCTGCCTGCTTCTCGCCAAAGCCTCCTGGTCATCCTTGAGGATCAGATCACTGAAAGTATCCCAGCCGCCGCCAGTGATGGGCTTGACAACCCTGCCCGACCTTGAAGGTGGAGGGGGCTGTGCATGCGGAGTTCGCTGCTGGAACATTGGCTGTGAGGCAGGCATCTGTCGGGTTGACTGTGGTGTAAGACTCTGGGGAGGGATAGTTGTCCCAATCGGAGCTGTTGCAGGTGCTTGAACAGGAAGTGGCGGCTGGGCTCCAGGACGAGACTGGCCTCGATAACCAGAGTCAAAGGTACCGTTGCCCAGGGCTCGATCTTTCGCTTGCGGCGGTCCCCAGACTTGCGAGGTCCAAGGTCGAGGTTGAGGTGCTGTTGCAGGCGCCCAAGCAGCTGGTGGACCCTGAGGCCTAGGCCCAGAAGGGACAGCCCCGTCTGTTTGGTGTGCAGTGGCGTCAGAGTGAACAGTCAACCTGGACTTTTCACCATCACGAGCAAGCGAGTCAAACGGCTGCGCAGGCTGCTGCTCCAATGAGGGCGCGGGTGCAGAAGGCACCTGCTGGCCTGGTCGGGCGTGCTCTGTTTGGGGCGACTTCTTCACTGGGTGTGGCTGGTGCACCTTCATCATGCCATATTGAGTAACCTCACCGTCCGTAGTCGGGATAGGTGGTTTTGGCGGTGATTGCACAGAAGTTGCCGCCGTTTTCTCCTTCTGCACCGGCTTCTCAGGCCGAGAGGGAGACTGCTCCTTGGCCTTGGGCTTCGATTCAGGCGGACCCATAGCAGCAAGTTTCTTCGCAATGCGCTCTTTCCTCTCTGCCTCAGCTCGCTTCTCTGCCTCCTGATCTTGTTGCTTCTTAAGACGAGCGCGCTCAATCTTCTCAGCCATGAGGCGTTTCTGTACCTCAACAGGGTTCTCCACAGGCGGCGCCTGTACTGGCGCCGGTGCATCTTGCATGGCAGGTGAAGTGACGGAGCCATAAGGCGAAGCGGGGTGTGCATGTGCAACGTTCGGGGACCTCATCTGTTGGAAAGGCGAATTGCGAGAAGCCACAGACTCGGCATGGTCGTAACCGTTGATGGAATGCGATTCGCGACGTTCCATGTGCATAGGACCGGTGGGCATGTCTGGTGCTCGTGGATCTATCGACATGCGTCTAGGTATACCCCCACTAACGTTTGAAGAGTTCCTTCGCCTACCCCATGCAGGGCCGTCCGCACTTGCTCTCGATGTCTGGAACGCAGCTGACGGTTCTGCTGGGCCGTCCTGAGCGGGTCTCTGCAGCACCGAAGGCTGCTGTCGGAAGTTACTATCACGTCCACCACTTCTCCGTGCATCATTGTGAACAGGTTCATATCGACCGCTTTGCGAGTTGAAAAGCTCCCTCCCATCTCGGGCATCGCGTCCACCGTTATCATTTCGCCATGAGCGATTGAAGTCGTCGGGAGCGATTTCCTTGGTAGGTTGCGAGGGCATACTATCGTAACCATGGGATTCTCGCTGCGAGTAACGCGGAGGGAGTTGGTGTGCGGGGGGAGGATTGATCTGCGCAGGGGATACTTTCTCGATCGGAGGCAACGGCGCCCATGGTGATTTCTTCTCAGTCGCCGATGGTTTGGCTACCAGTGTCGGCTTCTCTGGCTGGCCTTTGAGGACGAGACTCGATTTTCCGGTAGGTTGTGCATGTGCTCCAGGTTTCAAAATGGTCTTGTTACCGCCAGTAACGCTAGGCTTGGGTGGATTCGCAGTTGGGGCAGGAGATGTTGAAGGTTTCGGTGTCTCGGCGGGTACTTCGGGCTTGAGTATCGTCTTTGGCTCCTCGGCGGGCACTACTGGGGTTTCTGGCTGTACTGCAACTGAAGATTTTGTCCCGTCCATCCACTGCACAGTTTCCGGAGCCCAGTCATCTTCGTCATCGTCGATATCTGCCCACTTGGCTTCTTTGCCTGCCTCATCTGCCTGTAAACGTGTCGCAAGGTGGATTCCGTACTGCTGTTTCAGCTCTTCGTCGGTGAATTGCTTCGGTGGAGGTGGAGGTACTGGCTGGTTCTTATTCCAGACTTTGCTCGCATCTGGGCCTGCGCCCGCGCCGTTGGCCTGTCCGAGCGTACGTGGGGTGTTGCCAGTACCTGATTTCGCGACGAGGCGGGGTTTTGCCGAAAGCACGTTGGAAGTCTTGAGGGATGCAGTAGGAGTCGCTTTATCGCCCGGTCGCGCAGCGGGAGTCGATGTAACCGTTTTCGCCAGAAAGCTCTTTGTCACAGATACCGACTTGAAGGGCTGCTTCTTCGCTGCTGAGCTGGTCCGTACATGACTTCCATCCCGCTTCGACTGATCAACGCTACCAGGACGGCTAATGTCTGTATCCGAACCACCGCTTGCGTCAGCCAGAGCCTGTGAGTCGGACACCGAGAGTTCGCTGGATCCCACCGTAAGGTGGGGCTGTCTAGTCTCATGCTGTGACGCGCCTGACTGCTTGTTGTCGGCCTGCCACTGTCAATGCCACCTCCATACCCCTAATCGTCGCTACTTACAGCTGTCGCTTGTCCTTGGGTCTTCTGCGACACGTGTACACTACCAGCCGAGGCTATATCTATGCCGTTCGCAGTGGGTTTGGTGGAGGGCGCTTCGGACGGAGTGGGTTTGGTGGTCGCTGTGCCCGAGGGCGGGTCGCCATTAACGGCGGGGTCGTTGGTAGTTGATGCAGATTCGTCGATGGGCGCCGAACGTCCCACCGACTGTGCTTCCTTTACCACATCGTTGGCAACCTGCTCTGCCATAACAGTTTCCGGAACTGCGGTGGCGCAAGACCCAATGTCAGAACTATGCTTGTACTCGGATTTGGAAGAGGACATTGCGTGAGCGGCGTCGCCTGGTGCGAGTCGACTCTAGCCGGGTGCCCGCGATCGCTCATATGCGACCCGTAAGCTAAGAAAAGTTGGAAGTAATCACCTAGTGTCAGATGCTTAGAGTCGCCACAGGTGTCAAGTGGGCGCTTCCGCAGAGTCGATGTCTGCAAGTTGGTTGCTTTGGAGGGCGGGTGGTGCGGAGGGTTTCAAGGGTTTCGAGGCGGAGCTGGCGGGCTGAGCGGGCTGGCGGGCAGTCGCGAACACGTGCAAAGTCGCGCTGTTTGTACCGGACGGCGAAGACTCGTGGCCAGATAGGAGAGATTGGGTACAAGGAGCCCTTTGGCGGCGGGGCGGATTGCGGGTGTAGATCGGTGTATAGGAGGTTGAGGCGAAGTGTAGCCACGATGGTGAGAGGCGCTAGTCTTGGCACGGGCTGGGGCCTTCTTTGTATGAAGTCCCAGAGTATGACGAGGGCTTATGCACATCACATCCAAAGTATACATAGTGCCACCTTAATCATTCACATGTGTGATTTTCACAGGGAAGTTGGAGCGAGCAATGCAAAGGCGCAGGTAGCCTGCAAGACAGGATCACACGGACATGGTGCAACCGCCACGTGAGAGACCATCATCGCTCCAACCGATATGACTGTGCGATCAGAGATGTCGCAAATTTCTGATGATGCATGTCATCTAGACGTTTGTATGCAAGCAGAGCATCTCGCCATCGCAGTTAGAGGGCATTGCCCGGGGCGGCGCAGCCTGTTGCATGTTGAAACATGGGCTGAACAAAAACACAGTCAAGTGCACAAAAAGAAAGACTGTCTTAGCAGAGTGCTTGATTCCATCTACACTTTACTTATACAAGTGCTGTCTATCCGGTCATGGTCATCCAGCGCATCTCAAACGAGCCGCTTAGTGCTCGTTGTTCTTGTGGTGGCCTGGGAGCTGTGAGTCACATCGCCTCATTTATGCAGCTAGTCAAACTTACGGAGATGGAAGTAGTAGTTCTGGGCGTAGCCGAGCGCAATCAGGAAGCCAATGACGTGGACGAGCGCTGTGCTCGGTCAGTTTCGTGTTTAATATGCCATGATTTGCGCTTTGGTTCACAACTGCTCTCGTCCCAAGCGGCCACAGATGTACTTACGCCTTCCGGATGGGTTCTTGCCCATGTGCTTCTTCGCGTAGCGTCCGAGAAGACCCTTGGCCTCAGGCTCGGGAGCTGGGCCACGGGGCAGCTTCTCGTAGAAGTTGACGACCTTTTGCATGCGGACGGCATTGGGGGAAGAGCCGATGGCCTAGTGGGTGTATCAGCTTTGGTGGTGTTTGGGATGGGTTGAGCTATGGGCGTGCAATGCGATTCGCTTGAGCAACCGGGATTGTGGGCGAGGTTCGTGGTGGTTCAAAGCATATGCGATCACGGTCGCGGGTATTTACAATATCGCCGGTGAATTTCTTGGAGAATTGGAGCTCTTACATTGGGAGAGGCAATCTGTGGAGCATTGTCAGCACGATGCGCAAGAGGAGGGGCGGGTAGAAAGCCGGACCTTGGGGGGAATGAGGGTCGAGAGACCGCGCTTGGTGATGAAGCTCATCTTGACGGCTGTGACTCAATTAACATCAATTGCCCTCTCTCGGCATATCGGTCTGTGTTCGGGCAGCGTACCAGGGCGGGCAAGACGATGGAGTGGAGATGGAGGTCGTGCGGTCGGTGGTGAGGTTCGAGAAGAAAGCTGCAGGACGGATTATGCCGGCGCTTTTCGCCAAGGAGCCACCCCAGCTTCACCTCATCGACATCACCAACACCCGCGCCCGCCACATCGACTCTGCAACCACCATGTCTGCCCTACCCAGGTCAATTGCATCGCGAGTGCTTGCGCCTGCCCTGCGGCCCTCTGCCGCCAGATTCGCCGTCCCTTCGTACCGCGCGTATTCGACAAACGAGCCCACTCCGCATGCACACAAGACGAGCCCCGAGGATGCGCCCGCAGTCAAGCTCACCAGCTCTTCCACTCAGATTCGCGAGGAGGGTGCCGCTGAAGGGATGAGGAACCGTCCGGATTACAACGCCGCTATCGATTACCGCGTCTCGTGCGTCACTCGCAATCCCCGGGCACCATATACATAAATGACTAACATCTTCCCAGCAACTTCTCCCCCATCCCTAAGCGTGTTATGGATGGAAGTGAGCCTGGCGAAAGTGTGCCCGCCGCTGTTCTCTCAGGTGCCCCAACCGACCTTCAGGCACGCACTGTCCGGTACGTCGGCCCCACCTATCTGATATCAAGAAGCCATGCTAATACCCCCCAGCATCTATAAGCCCTCCAAGACAGCCACACAGTCTGGCACCTGGAACGCATCACACTGGCTTATGGACTGGGATGTCCTTCCCAAGGGTCACCGATGGGAGAACCCGCTCATGGGCTGGCAATCATCTGCCGACTTCATGAACGGACACAGGATCGAGTTCAAGTCCAAGGAGGACGCCATCAACTTTGCTAACAAGCAGGGCTACGAGTACTTTGTCCAGGAGCCCAACAAGCGGAAGTTTGTCCCCAAGGCTTATGCCAACCTCTTTACTCACAGCCCCAAGAAGCTCAAGGTTGTATTGACCAAGTAAGAGTTGGATTCAGGGGTCAAGGAGCAGCACATGTTTATACTCGATCGACGAGAATTTCGAATGTTTTTACATCTTAATGTCCAGTTATGGTTTCTGCGTTGCGTGTATGTCTAGACACTGTTGGCCTAACGTGATACCATTTACCTCTAGAGCGCCTGCATTCTGCGTATACTCTGAATGCACATGTAGGTCGTCACTGTACTTTTCTACCGTGTGTTCTCCTGCCGCAAGTTCAATATTTATTTGTCATACAAATATTTCCTGTCCGCTCATCTTCACTCATCCCACATCAGTGTCAATTCACCATCATCCAATCTCGCTACACACCACCGCTTTCACCATTAACATACACTTTCACCCCACAAAACTAAAGAAAAAAAACACACCAAAAATCCTATCAGCCCTCAAACGACCATTCTTCCCATTGCTATCCTACCTGTCATCCCAATCAACACACCCCCCAAGTTGCATCCAGCACCCGCAGCTCCACCCCCCACACACATACATAGCCCAAGCCCAAGAAGCTCAAAAAATGGGGCGAGCAGGCTACGACACAACCTACGTCTGCACGACAACCGACTCCGCTGCAACGACCGCAATCGCAATGGCCGATGCCCAACGCGCCAAAGACGCTGTAAGAACACACACACACACAGCAAACGATTATCCAGACCAACCCATTTTAATACAAGGCTAACACTTCGTTCCCTGGTAGAAAACAGCAGAACAAGCAGTAAAAGCAGCCACCGAAGCCAAACTCATCAAAAACAAGCATTCGCGTGGGATCGTGGTATGTAAAAGCGTAATGGAGAATGATGGTTGTTGGGGAGGCTGAGATAGAAGGTTAGGCTGCGAGATTGGCGATGCAGGAGAGGACTACTTCTGCTGCGGCGGCGGCGGCGGCGGCGAAGAAGAAAAATTCCTGATTCTATAGAAGAGCGGTGTCAAGGGCTTGACTTGGGCTTCTTTGCAAAGGGATGAAGGGCGGTTTGGCGGTTTAGCGGTTTGGCAAGTCCAGAGGATTGGAAAAAAAAAGGGGGCAAGGCATAGGAGGCAGAGTAATGTTGGTGTGAAGAAGGGCAAGTTGTTCGCAATTGCACTTGATCGTTTCGAAGAGCCGTTGCTTTGAGAAGAAGAAAAAGTGCGGTTGGTCCTTTTTTTTTCTCTCCAAAGCCGAAGAGAAGAAGGAGAGAGAAAAAAGGTAAAGTCAAAAGTACACTGTATCAACACAACTAATCCTAATAATTTTATCAAGAGAAGACAAAAAAGGAGGGAGAGGCCGTGACTTCATAAATTATGCCAATTAAAATGCTACAAATAAAATGAATCAAACAAACAACAATGACATCTTATACTCTATTCCTCCACCTCACACTAACGGTCCTGACCCTCTTCGCCGCGGAAACAGCTCTAATCGCATCTCTTGTCGGTCCAAAAAACTTGGCTGCCATTTTTTGTACGCCAGTAGTCAAATTGGGGTGCTCGCCATCATCCGTATCCCTGACAGCATCGAAGCCAGAAAAGTTGTCGACAAAGCGGACGGGGCTCTGGGCTGTATTTTGCGTAGCGATGTATGTTGCGATTGCGGCGTTGAGGTCCTTGATACCCTGCACAGGGGTGGCTTTGAAGCGGGCGGGGTCCAGAGGAAGCAGGTTGGAGAAGATGATTTGCATTCTGCTGTTGCTGGCGCGCATTTGGGAGATGAGGACGTCGTAGGAGGCGAGGATCTGGACAATGGGTTTTTGACCGATGAGAACGTCGTTGGTGCCGATGAGCATGATGACTACGTCCGGGGGATTCTGCTTCAACTTGGCTACCAGGTTGGTGGTGGCAGCCCAGGCAGTTGCTTGAGATCCGGGGTGGCCTTCGTGGTCTTGGTCGATGTTGGTGCCAGAGCATGTTGATGTCTGGCTGCCGACAAACTCAAAGTTGGTGATACCCGCAGCTCGGAGAGAGGTTTGGAGGTTTGCGCGCCAGCATCGCTAAGATTTAAAGTTAGTACGTGGAACGGTTTATATCAAAAGGTTAATGTGACAACGTACTGAGACAATGGACGCCCCAAAGGGCATTATCCTGACGGCTCTTTGCGCGCATACTTCAGTCGTCAGACTGAGAAGCCCAAGAACCAGAGCACCGAGTTTGACCATGATGTAGGATGGGTGAACCCAGATTGACCGGGGGTGCAAAAGGTTTTGGGGGACTCCGAGTGGTTCCTTGTTCCAGAAGCACTCCTCGAAAAAAGGCAAGCCGCGATTGAGTGACTATATACCGCGCACAGACGTTGATTGGCGTCAAATATGGTTTCGTAACTGGCCGCCAAAGGATGTCAGATGTCCGGTTCCCTGGGATATCGGAAATGGATCAAAATCCAGTGGTGATACGAGGAGCCGGAGTAATTTAAACTGCTTTCACAATTTCGAACGGGCGGGAGGGTGGAGTGGCTGTACCCTGCGCCGATCCTGTAGTGAGAATCAAATATAGAGCTTACAATAAAGCTAGGGCCTGGTTCACAGCGATAAGTCCAAATAGGGGAAGGGTAAATTGCAAAGATATTGCAGTGAATTGTAGCCTGGAACAAAAAGCCCCTCGGCCAGGTGGAAAGTGCTTCTTATATCCAAGTGTCAGACGAGGCGGAGAAGCGCACGGGAACCTGACTCCATGTTCATAGCCCACGCACCCCCCCTTGCGCCCATGGGCGTCGCTAGAGAAACAACAGCGAGGATGTGGGAGGTGTGCATGACTTGAGTGGCGTGCGACGTGCGGCGCGTGGTGCATCTGTTGCTGTACGCAGTAATATTAGGAGGAAGCGGCGGTGCCTGGCTGATGCAGGGCCGGGTGGGCGCAACCCTGTAGGTAATGTCTCCACTTTGAGCCTAGACAAGGCCTGGTAAGGCTATCTGACCGCTAAGGGATTTAGCACGTTTAATCTGACGTTGGCGATGGATGCCGAGGGGGGGAGGAGAAAGAGGACAGGGGAGGCCGACTGTCAGATGATAAGTGTGATGACAGTGTTGCATATCCTGCGACCTGCATTCTGAGGAGCCCATGTTGTTATTGCCCCAGACGTTGGAGGTGTCAACGTTACAGACATGGCAGAAAAGCAAACGGGTAAACAAAGGACTATGCGCCATGACGATAAGCGTGTCGACACAGACTCCTCTGGTATGTGATTGACAATGACTCTGTTTACTCTATTTTCGAGCAGGTTTGACAGCAAGTTGAACAGCCACAGAGTCTCTGTCGGCCTGGCCTCTGGTTCAATGGATTGAGCTAGTCTGGCGTCGTCGTGGACTGCCGAGATTGAGTTAGACACATGGTTTGCCGGCAATTTAGGTTAAGCATGCGTATACTAGTTGGTATGCAGGGCGCATGCACGTGTGCGTACTACATGTGCAAGACGTCGGTCGTCGGCGCAAGCAATGTCGGTAATATTGTATGCGAATGGCATGGTACGTAGCGGGCGCATACTTAGTTACGCAGTTGGCGTTCGGATGAGCAGTGGCATGGCTGTCGGCGGAATCGCCTGTGCAAGCCAAACGCAACAAGCGTGATGCACTGCTTGATGCCGCGGCCGCCCCGATGACGGTAGTGAAAACCTTGCCGTACGGCTGCAGGCCTGAATGGGGTGAGGTTGACGTTTTACTTCTTCCTCCTGCTCTGCCGCCATAGGGCTCTTCCCCCCAGGCCGCTAGCATACGCGGTGCACTATCGGTTGCACACGACTGTTCCTGCCCTCGCCGTCAATTTGATATTGTTGCAGAAATCAGTCGGACGTTCACTCGACCCGCTCATTTGCGCCGCCGCCAAGCATCGCAGTCTCCATTATTCCACAAGCGCGAGGAATGGAAGGCGAAGGAATCTAGACCTGGACCCGCAACCGTCACGGCCTTGTCGCTTAAACGAGTACGTGTGTATACCAAAGGGGACGTTCATTGCCCGAATAGGAACTGGACTGCTGCCAACAAAGGCAAAGATGGACGCACACACACCCTTCTGGATCCAACAGAACATGACAAGGCGTATTCCGCGGCAGCCCGTTTACGCAGGTTGCGCAGCAGCGGAAGGGTCCATACGAGAATTGGCCTTTCCTAGGCTCCGCTGCGGGCTCGTATTCGCACAACATATGGCCAGACTCCAACCACGCTGCGGGCTCTTCAGCCAGCCTTGCTCGCACTTTTGCCGCTCGTATAAAGATCGACACTGCTGGCTGCATGTCGACATGCGTCTGCGGGGTAGTGAGAACAAGTAAAGAATGGAGTTCAACGGTACTAGACCTGAGAATGTCATTGTCCAAACATCGTGACCAGGCGTACTTTTTTTTGGCGTTCGTTTTTTCGGGCGGGGGGGATCAGGCCTTCAGTCTGGCGTCAACAGTGACAACTGGATTACGACACGTGCATAATTCATGCACGATTTATGCTGACTTCCGGTATCTGGTACCACTCCACCAGTACCCGGACTTCCGCAGTCAAGATCTGCCGTCAGATCAGACACAACAGATGAGATGCAACAATTGCGAGAATTGAAAAGCAGTCAGCCAGGCCACCACTGCTATGTACATGCACAGTCATATTGAGACAACCACCACGCCTTGCATACGTTGAGTACTCAGCCCACTCTCTGCATGCAGCAACACCATGAGAAAGAAAAAACCCCGCAAAATCTCAAATCCGCAAGCCGAGAGGAAGCGTACTATGATCCAACTACTCCAGTATTGCCACCACTAATCGCGCGACACATATCGATAGACAGATAGTAGTAGTACAGACCCAGCCTACGCAATAAAGTGTGGCGCACATCCAACAGGGCTGCCCCCAAATGTCACCCCCCTCGTCTTTGTGGCTTGCCTACGACATACGCCCAAGCCCGCACCCGCAAAACAAACCCCCAACCGGAAAAGCTTGACTGTAGCACTGCATTGAGCTTAGCAACATCTTCCAAGCCACTGCGGCTGGCTTGTCTCGCACCATGCAATTATGCTGACGTAAAGTCTTGCTGGCGTAAAGTCTTACTCGAACGCTGCAAGACCGCTGGAACATAGCCACCCACCACGCATTGAAAATGTCTAACTATGTCTTTCAGCCTACTCACTTTGCTCACGTACTAACCGCAGCATGAGTCCAGCACAGCACAGCACAGTACAGTAAGCCCGTCCACCCCCCCCCCCCCCTGAAACACCCCCTCCGTCTCACCTCGTCACATACGCCCCATCCACGAAAAAAAAAATCCCCTCCACCCCATCACACATCTGCCTCCCATTCCCCACTCATCCCCAAGTCTGAAAAGCAAAACTCCCAAGACCACTTCCCCCTAAAGCTTAACTCCTAAAAGCAACCGCCTCGGGTTATCCACAAAAGGGGGGGGAAGGAGGGGGGCCTGCAACGTCAGGGGACAGAATAGTAAGTAAAGTGGATAAAAAGGGGACGATACAAGCAACTGTTTCAACAGAACAGGCGTTCAGAAGTGAAGGGGGGGATTCACCGAAACAGCATGGGCGTCGCGTTTGTTTCTGTTACTGTGGGGTAAAACCCACATAAAGAAGTGGGTTTAAACAACGTAAACAGTGGTGTGGCTGGATAATTGTAAGAGTGGGGTTTAAACGACGTACAAAGGCAAGGGATGAGGAATCATGTACATACGTATCGTACTGACGCAACTGATACTACCCCTGTGTGTACGACTTAGTAGTCTGGGTTGAGGGAGATCATATACGCAATATGGATGTATATTGGTGTGATGGTATAGGTAGGGGTGGGTGATGGAGGGAGGGTAAGTAGGTAAGTATACGCGAAGGGGGTAGGTTTGCCGAGGTTTTTTGATACAATTGTTCATGGGTTTGTTACTAGTCATAGGGTTATAGGGTTGAAGGGGGGGGGGGGGGGTGAACTATTATAGTGGGGATGAGAAGTGTGATTGTGATCAGAGTTGAAACGTTAGGTATGTGAATATCATGTTTTATTGTTGAATCGAGAATTAAGTATGTATCGGTGTGATGTTATTGCCTAAGAACTACATGGATGGACGAGTACATTGCTGGGAGATAACAAGACATGACAGATGGGTTGATATAGCAGGGAAACTTGTATCTGAGGACCCGGAGGTGCTGACAAGTCCGCTGCGGTCATGACAACACTCGGTTATTGCTCTTTGTTCCTCATCACTCTCCTCCCCGGTGCTGAATCTCATGTACATTTCTGATTCACTCCTCGCTCTTCCCATGAGGCAGACCCCTACCAGACGCAAGTATACTCATGCTTTGGGAAAATACTTTCATCTCCTCCGAACCGATACCGTGAGTTCCGTCAAGACCGTAAGTCTGCGGATGAGGATCGTCATAGAGAGCGTAACTGATCAGAGCGCGGTGATTCGATAACTCGCAATCTTCGCTCGTCGGCCTATACTGTGCTTCAGGAATGATTGAGACACCTGCATTTGCCGAGGAAAGAGGATCCATATCTATGTTGTCATTGTCGGTCGCGTTCTCTTTGTCGTCATGTTCGTAGTTGAGCGGCGAAGCAGTGTGTGCCTCACGAGCTAGCTGGTCCGCAAGCTTCTCGTTGAAGATGGTAAAAGGCTGACCTGATGAGACTGGCCAGGCATCTTTGTCGTGGCGAAAACATCTTTTTCCCGGGGACAAGTGTAGTGAGTCGATACTGTCCCTACGTTTGATACAGTTTTGCGGGTTGGCAGCTACTGGAGATGTAATCGAACTTTCAGCAATCGTGATAGCTGCTATATGGTTAGTATATAAGTGTAGGAAAACCGACGAATAGAGAGTGGTGCTTGCATACAATCACTGCCCATCTCTATCCTTGGAATAGTACTTCCGCTATCAAACTCCATCTCATCAGATGTGGAATTTTCGACATAATCAGCATATTTTCGTTGTGTTGGTTTGAATACCACAATTCCATCATCCGAGTCCGTATTATCTACAACATGTGAACGTTTCCTTTTCTTCCTAGGCACAATCTCTTCCTCTTCACTAGTCATAGCTAGAAACTCGTCTTGAGGATGCACATTCATATCGTACGAAATTTTCGGACCCGACACTTTGCGAGGAGAGCGACGAGTCGTTTCAACTGACAGTAGTCGTGATCGAGTGATTTTACGCTTCTTGGTCTTTGCACCATGTTTTGGTTCTTCCTCAGCCTCACTGTGTTCATCGCTCGACTCTTCTGCATCAGTATAGACGGCTGCAGAGTCTTCACTTTCGTCATCTGCATCGACACAGACTTCCTTCTCTCCGTAAGCTGAGCGACGCCTTGCCGCTTGCGTTGGCCGAATGGCATTGTCCATAGGATGATACTTTGCATCGTATACGAGCCTGCTCTTGTTTCGACTGCGAAGACTGTAGGAAGAAGTGGGAGCGGAAGACGTTGGAGGCAGAGGGTGTGACTCTTCAGCACCAGCGCTCTTGTCTTCGTCAGGTCCAGACGCAGTGATTTCAGAACTGAGGTCAGAAGATGTCGCGCGTTGCTATATATGTCAGTTGTAGTACTAGTCAATCCGAGCTACACTTACCGGGTTCTCAATAGATTCCGCGATTTCTTCACTGCCTTCATCTTCGAGGTGAGTCATTGCCTCTTCATCACTAACTTCAATAAAGTCCGAATAGTCAATCGAACGAGCCATATCCGCAACCACTGGCCGCGTCTGTATCTCACATGTACGAGACGTGTCGAGATAAATTAACGATGCTATCTGAGCGACGAGCAGAACATGACTGGGTATGTGGAGTGAGGTGAGAAGTTTGTGGAACAAGGTTGAGTCGTTGGCAGGAAGGAGCGACTAGATAGTACTTTCCGCTACTCCAGCGCTCCTTCCCCAACCGCATGTACCTTGTATAGCCCAGAAAAGGTCAGCTCTTGAATAAGGAGCCGATGGCTAGTTAATATGCCATCAAAGCTGCATTCGTGGCATCACTTCAGACTCGAGGATGTGTTTACTTGACAAAAGCGACCAGATAGTACTTTCCACGGCCCTAGCGCTCCTTCTTCACCCATATACACACTCCGCACCAACCTAAGCAAGATCTGACTGTGACCAAAGAGCTGATATGTAATCAACACCTCACCGGTGACGCATTTGCAACAGTACTTTCACACCCGACAACGCACCTCTCCAACACCACCATTCAAATCATAAAAATCACAACATCTATTAACGAACGAAATCTTACATCCACACACCCAGTCTCAAGCCAAAACACCGGTGAAGAAACAAGGCGGGATACAATACCATCTAATCCATAAAAAAGACTTGCACCAAAAAAAACACACTCTTCATTGATTAAAAGAAGACTATAACACATGAAGCACCAATGTCTGATCAAACCGACATAGAAACGGGATCCCATAAAGTGACATAAGCGAGTGGGAAAAAAAAAGCCGTCGCATCCAACGACGTTCTTTTGTGTAAAAACAAGGGAGTTGACCATCCCTCCTAAATAAACACTCTTGAATGAATAACTAATGAATAAACAGACATCCATGCACTTTCATAGTGAAACAATTAAATGCCAGATAATTCAGCTACTACAAAAAAGACAGCCGCCGTGTGGGCGTGCATTGTAGCTCACTCAAAACGCCGTTGGATATAATATATTTATGCCCGCCCTTCCAACCCCCCTTAATTTTCATTTCCCACATGATATGAAGAGAAGAGAGTTTGCTTGTTGTTTTGGAAATTTCCCCATTTCCTTTGAGTATACAACATGATCCCTACCTCCTTAGAGAAACGCCAGATGACCCAAAAAAAAGGGCATGAATGAAAACATGAAACTCGCTTGAACGCAACTGGAGATAACGACTGTATGTGAGTATAAGAGAGAAAAGAGAGAGATGGAAAACCCTCATTGTCTCATCGGTTAAAGCGGGATGTGAGGCGGATGGGGGGTAAGACGAAATCCTCGTCAGAGTCATCATTTTCGTCGACCTCGATGTTGAGAGAGTTTAGTGGTTTCGAGACGGCGGCTTCTCTTGGGCCGGGGGCGGGCTTGGAATGTTCGTCGGATACCGGCAGCGAATGTACGTCTTTCCGATAGACCGCCTCGGGTTCCAGCGACGACATGGAGGTATCCGAGGTTTCATGTGCTTGCAACTCTGGTGGGTCTTGCGACTTGCGCGCATTGCATTTGTCGACTTCGGTCTTGGCGGTCTCTAACAGGGTCTCGAAGCTTTTCCGGATTGTCGCTAATTCTTTTCTGCAGTCGCCGTCGCGCAGGGTGAGATGCGCAGCCTTTTCGCATAGTTCTTGTGCTTGTTCTAGAATCTTATCTGTGGAGTCGAATAGTTCTGCTGGTGTCTCTACACCGCTACTGACACCTAGTCGGCCACTTCGTCTTGCTGCCGATCGTGCCCGTAGTGCTGACATGCGTGCTCTGTAGTTTACTTTGGCCGGGCTAATTTCGTCTTGGTCGTCATCATCGTCTTCTTCCTCGCTGGAAGATGCCATGGTGGCCATATCGTTCATCCTGGCCTCCATCTTGGCCTTTCGTAGCAGGTTACGTCCTGTTCCGAAAGCGCGAACTAGTAATTCAAAAGACTTTTGCATGTCCCCATCGTAGCTAGTTACAACCATGATCCGAGAGCGATGGCGAGCGGAGTCGGGCTCCTGGTCCGAGGAAACGGAGAGAGACTTGCGTTTTCGACTGACAATAGGATCGGCGGGCGTTGCAGTCGAGGGCGTGGCGTCTTCTGCGATGGCGTCGAGCTTGCCTGGTCGTATGGAAGCGGTCGAATCTGATTTCTGCTTTGCGAACGGCGACTGTGATATGGGTACTTTTGTGATTTCGTCTTGCATTGCCGTGACCCTGTCCTCGGCGGTCGTAATCTGGTGCAGCCATTGTGGGATGTTGTCCTGGAGAAAGGCAAACGACTTGTCGATGTCAGACATGGTGGCTGCTTGGGCGTCCAGCGAACGGAAATGCGGAAGTAAGCGATACGACGCAGACGGCCGCGGGTTGTCGCATGCAGCAGGGCCAGCAATACGGATGGTGTGAACAGAGAGGCCTGGCAGGAGCAAAGGAAGAGGGTCGCGTGGTCGTGTGGTGGAGAGGGGACAGCGTCGGGGTACTTGAGTGTGTGAGGGTGGGTGTGTGTGCACAGCGGGTGCGGAGAATTAGTGCGAGCAGCGAACCAGGCGGGCCAGAGGATCAGCAGTTACTAGTTATGGGGGAAGAGCGGCTGGTGGGCAGGGACTAGGACCGATACAAGACGTGATCAACGGGGCCAGATGGTGACTTGTGTACCCCCGGGGGTGGTGCATTGCATGAAGAAGAAGAAGGGGAGGAAGAGAGGGGAGGGGGTGGAAAGGGCCGTCAGAATTACATACACGTCGTTGTCAACGCGGCATGCAATTGGAGTTCCCACGGGAGCGGTTCAGCAACGCGCAATACCCTTGGCGAAGATCGAGCCAGCAGGCTCGCAGCTCGCACTCGGTCTTGGTTGCAGGCAGACATGCGGCGCCATTCCATGAATCAATTACCTCGTCATCTGCCGCAACGTTTGGCCTGGCTCGACGAGCACCAAAGAAACGAGCGGGCCGATGGAGGCAGGTGGCCGGTTGACAAGAAGCCTTTTCTCTCCACCCCGTTTCCCCATGGCGGCCGGCGACGGGGGGCGCATGTGTTGCTGCAATGTGGCGGCTAATGGCCCCAATCAGCGCAGCCACGGCGCCTTTTGAGGCCGTGCCGCAGCGCCTCTGCCGAAACAAAACAACCTCGCCTTTCCCTCGATGCCGACGCGCGAAGCGACACGCATGCCAGAAGCGGTGAAGGGAGCAAGGGAGCTCATGGCCCTGCAAAAACCATCGTGTCGGCCTGTTGGCCAGTCGTCCAAGGGGGAGGGGGGTCAGCACTGTCTCTTGTCATGCTATCTTTCGGCCCTATGTAGGCTTCAGGAGACCAGGTGGTATCCAGACTGTGAAGATGGTCAACTGCGCGAAGCGTCGACTAGACCAGAGTTTAATCGTGATTTGCGTGTGCACAGTCCCCAGTTGACGACATATCACGTGACGGGCCCATATCCGGAAACCGAACCCCCTCCCTGGTCACTTGGCCCATGGACAATGCACCGACTTCTATATGTGTACTGATTGTCTGTCTAACTGGCCTACCATACGCATGTCTATACGGATGCGATTACCACTACTATATTGACATGCACGTGTTACTGCAAACCCTCGACACAGTCTAGTCGCACGCCTAAACTCTAAACCCCCTGTCCGAGTTGCTCGCCTAGCCCGCAGCCCGCGCAGCCCGTCTCCTCTCCAACCGTTGCCCCAAACGTTGCCCCTCCGAGCTAATCATTGTCTGTGCGCTCGTCAGTCAAATCCCCCGATGCTTTTCATGACTGCAGAAGAAAAATAATGATGCCATCGATGCATTTCGCTGTGCATGCTCAACAACTTCTTTGTTACCGTTTGGCATCGTGAACAGGGTCAAGCGAGACCCTCCTAGGTCGCCGACCTGAACCAGCGTCCTGGTAAGGCTGCATCGGAGCAATGCTCGTCTACTTTGCCAAATTGCCATCAAACTCCGCTCCCCCAGCTGTGGGTGGCTGCGGCAAAGCGGTTACACAACAGATCCTCCCTTGCCTTGCAGAACACAACAACAACAACAACGCACATCATTACCCGCGCCTAATTGAGCGTTTGAAAACATCACCATGTTTGTACAGGTCACAAGGATCTGGAATATTATTCTTGTCCTAACAAAATGTAAAATGCGTCTCGACAAAACCGGCAAGCCTCTACGGCCACAGCTCCTCAGTCCTCCACCCACCATTCTCCTCAAACGTGTACCTGTACCTCCGCGCCTTGTCCGGTTCGCTAAGATCCGTCTGCTCCACCGAATCCGGCACAATAACCACCACGCGAAAGTTCTTACGTGCCACCTCATCATCCAACCCATCAACACTTGACCCCAGCCCAAGCTTCTGATCATACGGTTTCGACGTGGGCTGACCCGGCGGCGGATTCTTAAAAGAGCCTATAGCAGTGTCAGAACACACAAGCACCAAGTCACATCATCATCAAAAAAAGGAAGGCCACCCTTACCCTTTATCCCGGGACTCTGGTTCCCAAAGAACCCCCTGAGTTCCCTCTGCCAGCTGAACTCGCCCTGCTTGCCTTCATCCACAACCCTCATCCTCTTGCCCAATTCGCTCTTGACAGTCCTCACGCCACTGCTCTCCTCGCTCGCCTCAATATCATCGGCAATGACGTATGCGCGTCCTTTGATCCGCCATTGCGAGCCTGTATCAGCGTTCCAGTACACTGCCTCTACGGGCCCTCCGCCTCCACTTCCTTGTACCTGCTCGCTGCTCTCCGCGTGTCCCGCGCTCGACGCAAATATCTGTCCCACCTTCTCCATGCGCACATCCGTCGTGAATGTCGGGCAGTCGCTCTGGTACACGGGTGGGTTCCGCTCCGCGTCGTTGTGCTTGTTCTCTGGCAGCTCAGTCCAGAAGCCGCGGTGAATGCAGTATCGCACGCGCGGCACATACGGTGTAGGCGAGCCTTCCGGCGCTTTATCGAGCGTCCCAAGCACAAACTCGGGCGACTTCATCTTGGAGATGTGTTCGCTGAAAAGCGCTTTCCATGGTGCTTGAGGCAGCGCTGCTGCTGAAGGCGTAGTAGTGGACATGGTGCGTAGGACACGCGAGAGGCGGTGCGAAGCGGTACGTGAAGCTGTGCGTGAAGCTATATTTGCGGAACTACTCGACCGAGAAGAAGTAGCAAGGTGAGTCGCAAGCGTTCTAGAGGACATGTCTAAAAGCTCAAGTCGGTCGAGCAATTGATATGTCTCCCCCAAGTGATGTCGTCATCATCTAACCCCCAATCACCCTACGCAACGTCGTGCAACAAAAGTCAATGAGGTCAGTACACCCGCTCTACTAGTGCAACCAAACTCCTAAACCATCCCAAGTCTCAAAAATCTCAATGGTAGAAAATCGCACCCATGCTCAACAATCGCATTGTCAGCAATTCCCAATATTCAACTATTGACAACAATAAAATCCCCTTTACCCCTTCGTCCGCGTCTGGTTTATCCCCCGGCTAGTTTTTACCCCACCCCCCCATGCCAGCCACGTTGGCACCATGGGTGCGCGCGCGGCGACTCCGTAGTCCCCCTCCCCCCCCCCAAACAAAGAGTTACGGGTTAATATATATTATATATTGTACGAATTGCTGGGCACAAATGCAAGGGTTATCGCGTGACACATGTTGCCGACTTGGACTGTCTTCGCTTCCCCTAGTCCGGATGCCTGCACTAGGCTGCGTGTTACTTCCAAACGTCATGGCCTATACGAGTGCGAGGACTTGGTAAGGGTTGGTACATGTGGTATTCTGATCTGTGTTGGAAAGACTATGCTATGCAGATGGCCAAGTCACTGTTAAATGGATAGACGGTCTTAAACACATAGGAACACTATTTATCATCTCGAGTTATTTCTGGTGCTGGCATCGAAAGCTGTGGGTACTCTAGCAAAAGTAAAACTGACAATTAGAATCACTGTCTCAAGCCTTCTTGAAAAAGCTGGCAATACTACCCTGCCCCTTCTTACCCGCATTCTTGCCCTTTGCAGAGCTTGCTGGTTTCGCCGGTGCAGGCTTGACCTTCTTCGGTACAGGCTCCTCTTCCGAAAACGACTCCCAGACTGCCTCTTCTTTGGTGACTGTAACATGTTAGTCGATTATCTGGACCACAATAAAGTCCACTCACCTAGATAGCCGTCCTCATCCTTGACCTTCTTCTTCTTCATCACTCGTCTTCGGCCGCGTCTCCGGCCATTCGTCACCGTGAACGTGGCCTCGCCCTCTGCTGGCTCTGCGGCATCAGCTGCGGCGGGTGCTGCCGGAGTAGTTTCAGTCTGTGATTCTGCTGCTGCTGGTGCGTCGGGCATGTCTTCGTCTGCACAAGTTAGATTTGAAATAAATCTCCCCTACGCTTGACTCACCATCGTCTTCCATCATCTTGCGTAATCGCTCCGCTCGCTCCTCACGAGCTTTGCGAGCTGCTTCGTTCTTCTCTTCGTCAATCTTGACCTCGGGCTCATCGTCTGGATCGCCTTCGTCCTCGGACATGCCTTGCATTGGTTCTGGGCATGTTAGTCATGTAGTGTGGAAATTAGCACAAGTTCAACATACCGTCTTCGACTGGAGCAGGTGTAGACTCCTTCGCCTTTGGCTTGGCCTTGGCAAATGACTTGAATATATCACTGGATGCCTTGTCCTTCTTCGCTCCCGGCTTGGAGTCGGACCGCTTGAGTGTACTTGTGCCCGCAGAAGATTGTGGAGTTGACCGCCCCGATGCATTTTCTTCAGTGCTTTCCTTGTCCTTTGTACCCAAAGTTGCAGCAGGTTTGCTGGCTGGCTTCTCAGCAGGCTTGGATGCTGGCTTTGCGGAAACTTTTGAGGAACTGGCTGCGGCGGGAGGGGCGTACTTCGCAGTCCTTCTCTGTAGCGACATTAGCTTGATTGTCTACATGCTGCACGAGACAAACATCATACCTTGATGTACTCGTTACGAATTGAACCATACGTCTTCCATCGCTCCAAAGGGTTCACATCTGCGTACTTTGTCGTAACCTCGTGGTTACACATAGACAACACTCCGAAGATCTAGTATGTTCAGCACCGTCTATTGCGAGTCGAAACTGAGCATACCTCGAGTGGCCCGGGTTCTAGACTGTAGAAATGGGCAGATGCGCCTTCTTCCAGTCCTGCAAGTGTCTCTAGTATAACAGTCAGTGAGTGTCCATAGCGACCGTTGACACAACGTACCCTCAAACTCCTCCTCCCGAACTAGCAAGACTTGAGTCTCTTTGACGCCTCTTGGTGCAGGAGTATTCTCATCGTCAGGACTGCTGTCGTAATCCGAGTCTTCATTTTCCTCTTGGTCGGGCATGGAACTCATGAATGGAGAGCTGCGCATATCGGTGTCGTCGCCTTTTCGGATTTTGGAGCCATTGCTCTGTTCGCTGTTTCGAGGTGTACCGGTGAGGAGATAGGTGGCGTGAACAGATTTCGGCTTGCGTGCATTTTGCGTCTTGTAAAACTCAGCGAGCATTCTGTCTGTGGTGAGCTCTGGTATTCGTCATTCGCAATGGCAGTCCCAACCGTTTTGCTGTGTTGACATTGGTCTTGAGCGCTCTGCTGAGAAGCCTATAGGTGACAGCCTTATTCTCAGCAAGGATTCTTGCCGCCAGATAATCCCTGTACTGTTCCTGGGCCATTGTGTAAATTGTCGGCGTTGTTGTAGTCGTGGTAACTACGATGAACAAAGTAGTGGAAGCGCGTCGCGAGGCTGACTCGTGCTCACGCGTCTTGCACTCCCATCTCGACAAAACTGACTCGAGCACCAAGGCATCCATCATTGCACACAAGTCAACCACCATGTTTCTATCATGACCGAAAATGAGCGCCGCTGAAGACGAAGATCTAAAATTGCAGCGAGCATCTGCTCTGCTACTCTCTGACCTTGAGAAGCTTCTCCCACGACTGCTACGAAAACGCCAGCAGGGTTCTACACCAGGTTCTGTCCGCCACAATGTTAGGACGGCTGATATGCACAAAGCATGTAG